TATATATATATTATATTTATTGATTTTTCAATTTGTTGGTTTCCTGATATATATATAGACAAGATTTATGTATTTGCGGCTTTTACACGATATAGTATGTGTGTTTTGTAATGATATAATTTTGAGATTTGCAAAAAGATATATATAAGAAAAATTGATAAATATTTTGGAAAATAAAAATATCGTTCAAAAAATTAAAAGAATCTAAGAAGATAAAATATCTTTTTTCAAACTTTTGTCGTATTATTTTAATACTGATCGCGTGCTTAATGCTCGTTCTTTATGCCACGCAATATTTATTTATTATATTGATTTTGTTACGCTATTACTATCGCGGCATTATTTGTGCGCTAATCATTTTTGTTTTCTTTCTCGTTTTTCTCCTCCCGCGTCCCATTCTGTGCAGAAGGTGAAGCACCGTCTAAAGGTAATACTTCATGTTAAGTTTAAGCTTCCTTGCTCTTGTACTTTATTATCTTATTTTATGGAAGAATTATGATTTACCTATGATAAATAAACATAATTATTCTTTTTTAACTTGAATAAGCGCTTGGATGTCTTGCCTACCTTCGTGCATAAAGATAAGAATGGATGATGGGCAATAACGCCATGCTTGCAGCACGTGTATCATAATCATCTTTCTATATAATCATTCTGTGTGTGAGGTATATAATTTACAAATTATTCCCATTTCTAACCTATCCATATTGAAAATATCATTTGTATAAGGAATCATATAATACCTATTGAAATTTATTCTTTCTTTCATTATTAGGAAAGTATGTACAATATTATTATATAATGAGTACTATTTTAAGCCTGCTTAATAAGGATATATTAATAGCCCATTAATAGCCTTACTGATCGTGCGTCTTAATCATTGTTATTATATTATGGCGGAATTATTTATATTAACTTTCGTCACGGTGATATTGTCATTATTTTGCAGCGAGCTTCACATTAACATTTGGGTATTATTAATATTTATAGGTATTATAAGATATAAATTTTTTTTTTTGATTGCTATTATCTCTATTGATGTTATTACATTGTATGATATTACATTTTATGCCGATTTGGTGTGGGGCTTAGAAAATAGGAAAAAACACAGCAATTTTATTTTATTTTAACTTATGTGTGTAATAAATAATACAGAAAAATTTGGATTATTAATTAATTATTTTAATTTTGTATATCTTAGTTATCAACTTTGAATCTTTTTTATCACTAACATAGTCGCAAAATGAAAAGGTATCTTTCTTTCTACTACTCACAATGATATAGTAATGTACAAATATCTTTTTAATATATAAAATATTCCAAAAAATAGATAGTCTTTAAGAGTATATTTTATTAATCGTAATGATAAAAAAAGAACATAGGTCTGGGAACGCTTCCTTTTCGAGTTATAATTTCTTTTTTTTACAATAGACTGATTTTTCGAATTATAAATTTTTTTTGTTTACTTTTACTTGAAACTCTTGACAGACATGCTTGCTAATCTGTCGTAAATATAAAAAGTTTATAAATCTAAAAGGAAGCGTTTTCAGATTCAGATGTTTATATGACTTTTTTCATCATTACCGTAAATACAGTATACTCCTAAAGTTTGACTGCTTATTTCTAAAACATTTTGTATATGATTTATCTCTGTATATAAACACTCTGTGTTATAATAATTAATATTATAATATATTTTTTATAACATTGTTACAAGCAATTCTTATAAATATAATGTGTTTGTCATACTCTCATTACTTCGAGAATGTTTTAATCGAATAAAATATAAACTTCGTAGCAGAATATATTTTATTTTGTTTTTTACAATTCTGCTTTTAAAATTATATTTAAGAGACTATTTTTTTAAAGACAAGACTTTTATATATTTTGCTTTGCAAAATAGAATACATTGCTAAAATTTTTACTTCTATGCAGATCACCGACCGCATGGCAGAAACCCAGAACTTCCGGTCATGCCGCGTAGCGAGAGCACGTCCGAATTTCAACCTCTTGAGGACAAAGAAGTTGAATATTTTTTCGCTTCTGATGCGAGTGCCATAATCGAGCACACAAATCGTGTGATATTCCTGGAAGTGCGAATTGATGTTATACATTATCCCAGTTTTTACACAATATCGCAGGGTTATCTAATATACTTTTTATTTATTAGGACGATGATGTGGCAGCCGTTAGAGAAGGCGCATTGAGCATTCATCGTCTTCGTCGTTATATGGACGATCCTCACGCTCGTGAGATCACGACGTTAAAGATGGAGATTCAGCAGATTATGAAGGGCAATTATGACTACTTCATGCAAAAAGAAATTTTCGAGCAATCGGAGTCAGTTGTGAACACCATGAGAGGACGTTTGAATTTTCAAGATAATTCTGTTACTTTGGGCGGAATTAAAGTAACTTTTGCAAAAGAAATTACTTTTACATAGTTAGCTTCAAGGAAAGATACTAGTACTAAATCTTTGTAGGATTATATTCCCGAGATCAAAAGATGCAGACGTCTTATGCTGATTGGCTGTGGTACTAGCTACCATTCTGCCATAGCTACGCGACAACTACTCGAAGAATTGACAGAATTGCCGGTGATGGTCGAACTTGCGTCCGATTTTTTGGACCGCAACACGCCGGTCTTTAGAGACGACGTTTGTTTTTTTATTTCTCAATCGGGTAAGACAATAAATCGGATTATCTTTATATGATTCTATCAGAGATTATGATTAACAATAAGTTATTCTATTTTTTTTTATTGATGATAGGCGAGACAGCTGACACATTAATGGCACTACGTTATTGTAAAAGTCGTGGAGCTCTTATTGTGGGTATAACTAATACGGTGGGTAGTAGTATTTGTCGCGAGTCCCATTGTGGTGTGCACATCAACGCCGGTCCTGAAATTGGTGTGGCAAGTACCAAGGCTTATACTTCGCAATTTATTTCTCTCGTGATGTTTGCACTAGTAATGAGTGAAGACAGAATCTCTCTTCGTGCGAGACGTCTACAAGTACGTTCATTTGTGTTTAATATTTATATTAGCCGAATTTACATCTGATTTAATCATTCACATATTTTTCAGATTATTGAAGGTTTGAAAAATCTTGATAATCTCATTCGCGAAGTATTAAAGCTTGACGATAAAGTAAAAGAGTTGGCGAAGTCTTTGTTTCAACATAAATCTCTGTTGATTATGGGTCGTGGATACAATTTTGCTACATGTATGGAAGGCGCACTTGTAAGTTCATAATAAGAAGCAAGAATATGTTTCCTTACAATTGATGTTAATATAAATAATTCCTTTATAATTGCAGAAAGTAAAAGAATTGACATATATGCACAGCGAAGGAATTATGGCTGGTGAATTAAAGCATGGTCCATTAGCTCTTGTTGACGATTCTATGCCGGTGATTATGATCGTAATGAGAGATCCGGTATACGTGGTAAGCTTATTAAACAATATTTAATAATCAATTATGTTATAAAAATATATTTATCTTAGCTTTTTTAGCTTTCTTAGTTTTTTATGGTACATTATTTCATGAAAAAGAATTCAAAAGTTAGGCGACTTAAAGTATGAAAGTGAGAATTATACGACGCGGAAAATTTTTTTGTATGCATTTCTACTTCTTCATCTTTATTATCTAAGTATTCATTTATATTTACTATAAATAATGTCAGTCTCTATATGCAAGCTAGGACGGTCCGGCATCCTCTTAAAGTATGAAAGTGAGAATTATACGACGCGGAAAATTTTTTTGTATGCATTTCTACTTCTTCATCTTTATTATCTAAGTATTCATTTATATTTACTATAAATAATGTCAGTCTCTATATGCAAGCTTTATTTATGTGTCCATTTTATTGTTTTTAATAACTTTAATAGTATTTTTCTGTTCAAAGTTTCTAGATTAAATATTTTTCTGTAGATATTTTGTTGGAGAAATGTTTTTATTTCAATAAAAAATTATAATTTACTCCATAAATAAAAAAATTAATGTTAATCTAATCTTGGATTATTATATGCGAGGAAAACTTAAGAGATATAAAAATGTGTCATTTTTTATTATTTTATTAATTTTTATTTATTCTAATGTTTTATTTTGCAGAAATGCATGAATGCACTGCAGCAAGTTACCGCGCGAGATGGCAAACCGATCGTTATTTGCGAGGAAGGAGATGAGGAAACGAAAGCTTTTGCCGATAGGGCTCTCGAGATACCCAAAACAGTTGATTGCTTGCAAGGAATTCTCACCGTTATTCCCATGCAACTATTGTCATTCCATATTGCGGTTTTGCGTGGTTGTAATGTCGACTGTCCAAGAAACTTGGCGAAGTCAGTCACGGTTGAGTAAAGATCATATAGATCTATGAATTCTTTCGGAATATGTCACAAATTTACCACGACTTTATGTTGCCACAAGATTTTTTTAAGCCATACGAAGATGAGAAAATTACATATAAAAATTACATATAAAAGAAGATAACAAAAATAAAAAAAACATTATCACACATTGGCATAGTAAATATTTAATACATTAGTATACCTCTCGCCAATGACTTTTTGACTTCGATATATATTATCACTTTTGTCAATACAATAGTAGATCGGCAACAAATTCACTCAGAAGTTGCTAGTAAAAATTAATATCAACTGTATCCACATTATGCTTATGATTCCGCCGGCAAAGCTTGTTCAAAGAATCCGATAGCAGATTGGCTACAAAAATCGAACAGAATCTGTTAACATAACTTAACGTCAGATTGGAGGCAGAAATTGAGCAAAATCTGCAGCTCCTAACTATTTAAATACAATAGAAAATAGTAACGTATAAATTGGTATTTATAAAAGATCTTTAATATTTGATTCGATTTCAGTAAACATAATTATATTAATGTTATATAAGTGCAAAACTGAATATTACAGGTGCATAAACGTTATCGATGAGTAACCGATTAATGTAATTGTAATTTTCCTCTCATAAATATAACATGCAATGTAACATATGTTATATCCCACATAGTAAACAACAATTGTTTTAACTTAAAGATTCTTAAAGGAAAATCTGGAAAACATCTGCCATGATATGGTAAACTAGTAATTTTTATAGGAAAAGAATTTTGAAATTGGTTAAATAATAAAATTTACCATTACCAGAAAAACATTTTCAATCGCTAAAAGTAATATATATATATATA